TATGTCTGACCAACAATTTGGGGGTTAGCCTTTCCTCCTCCAATAAGCGTTTCTCAGATATGGCCATGTAGTTTTCCGCCAAAATGAGAGATAAGCAAGATCCCATCCCATGTGTTTAGGTATATTTGGGTCAAAGATGAAATAAGTGCTGCTAATGGATAGGTTAAGAAGTCTAAGGATGGATGCTATACTTAATGTCTGAATGCTCCTCCAGAATTTGGAATAGAGCCTGAATGGCTCCTAGAACATGAATTTTTGTGTACATACATGAAACATCAGAACTTACCAATCTATCTTCCTCGGAAATTATCTGATGACCAATTAATGTTACAAACTCAAAGAATTTCTAACTGAATATAGCCAAAAATTGGCAGCCTTTGTTAAGCGTATGAATATATATATATATATATAATGCACAAAAGCTCAAGTATTTCATGAATACAGAAAGTTTAGTCATGACAAAGGAATAATTAATATGAAACTTGTTAAAACTAATTTTTAAAAGAATAAATATATTCTGCATCTATAAATTGCAGGGTGCAAAATATCAGCTGATTCTTAGCTTAAAGGAGAGTGATAATATAACAAATGAGAACGGCGCAAAGTAGATACGATATAAAAATTGACTAACAAACGTTTCTAGTTTCTATTATAATTAAGAACAAACAGCTTTAAAATCTGGGGATATCTGCGAACTTAAAAGCGAATCGGATAAGAAAAATTTGTATAAAAAATGCCAACACTAATAAGCTTAAATTAAAAAAAAGCTACACTGAAGACAATTCTCATAATGAATAACAACTTAGTGTCCGGTCTGATACAACGCACACGTGCCAACTATATGCTTGCTCTACTTAAGTTCATATATTGCATATGCTCAATTCGCAATCTCGACAATACTAAGAAAGAATTGATCCTTATGCCCCAGATAATTGAGATATGAAAAGCTTGGGTTGCGACTAAGGAAATAATGGTAAAGAATAGGTTTGAACAATGTATATCTGGAGATTCAGGAATGTTTGAAAATATAGTTAGATTCATATAAGAAAGATAACCACTACACGCCGCTTTGGTTATGCAAGTTATAAGAACGGTAAGATACAAGCCATGCTGCATCAAAGTTACTTGCGATGGTGAACTTCAATATAAAGTTAAACTAGGTCAGCCATAAATGTTATAACTCCATCATAACCCATCCAAGTGAGTCATATAGTGAGCAAATATACTGTAAAGCTACAAGTTAGAGCAAAAATAAACATTTAATCAAAACTGCCTTTTAGGAAGATTAGAAGGCCGAGGTGCTTCGGTGGGCCGTGGTGGCGTCTTGCCGTTACTAGTCAGCGCCTCGTTAACCCCAGATAAACATCCATCAGCTACAGAGATTAGGGATGGAAGGGAAAAAATAAGCAGGGTAAAAGAAGGTTAAAGCGGAGGTGGCGAATAAAAGAAAAAAAAATATATACGGTTGAGGCAAATAGAAACATTTATCAATCGAATATCTCAATTCATATAAACAATAGAATTAAATAAAAATGAAATGCTAGTATGCCTGAGTCAAGTAATGAGGAACACTGGCTAAATGAATAAAACCCTAAGCCAATAGCAAGTCGTCACAAGCTAAAGAACACGATCCAAGTGAATATTCGAGTTTTGAATTCAAGGAAGCAGCTCACAGAAACAACCTCAGACAAACGGTTACAAGTGCCATAGTCTCGATAAACATACTAATGATAATAATAAAAAGAGGAAGAAAGCTTATTGTGATTAAGAGTGAATTTTGCATACGGTTACTAAGCGCTTTAAAATAAGCACGATATAGATTAAAACATATGATGTCGATACTTTCCTTAATGAGTAAGATTTAAGCAAAGTTCATTTTTGGATAACTTGGAAGAAGCTTTTGGCATTTGAGTTATCTAATTATTTACATTCACCAAAGGAACGAATAAAAAGGAAGGAACTGAACAAAGCTACCAAATAAAGAAAACAGCGTAAAAATAGTTATCTTCATGGAAAATTTTTTGTTAGCTTACAAGTATTGATAAATTTGCTTATTTCCATATTCTTGTGAATGGAATGAATTCGTAAGTTGATCTCACAAAAAGTCGAGGAGCGGTTGCCTTGGTGCTATGAACCAAGGACTTATTTGCACAAATCTAATCACAGTTCAAAGACAACCCCCAAGTAAGATAAACTTGCGAATCCCTCTCACTCGCTTCTTCAAACTAAAGAAAGGTAATCTGACATCCATCTTTTAAGGGGTTCTTCGAAAACTGATTTTTCTACATATCAATTTATTTTAGCTAAACATCAATATTAAAAAAGTACATTACCACCAGAGCCAGGATGTTGCGCATCATGTACATCAACTGCAGAGCACACTGAGACTGGGAGCCTTTGAGCCTCCCAAACACTGTCGGTGTCAAAGCCCCTGACATTTGAAACATCTATAGATTCGAATCCTAGTTTGACTGGATGTGGCTGCGAATGGATAACTCTGCCAGGCTCTATCTGACCTTCAACTTGGCACCTTAGTCCGCCAGGAGACACAGGCTGAGATGCTTGTGGCGACACAGGATCAGTTACAGGATTAGCAAGTCCGATTTCTTCTCCACATTTAGGGGTGGAAGCGCAACTAGCACCGTCTTTGACTCCACTTTGCTGACTGATATGTGCTGTTAAAAAAGCAGACCCAGCAAGAGAGGCTCGCGAAAGAACAGGCTTTGTGCGGACGATTGCGAAAGGACCATCTCTTGCCCGAGGCCTATTTGGGATAGTAGCCACTTCCAAGGTAGCCTCCAAATTTTTCGGCGAAATAACACTATCTTCCGCATTCAGCTCGATTCCAGATACTGTGCCCCCCTCAGACAACTCATTCTTAGCTAGTATGCCGGTTGGAGAGTGAAGAAAATTAGTATCGTTTTCAGTCATCCAGTCCTCAACTAATGCGGGAGCAGAGGTCTGACCTATCCGTGAGGCCGTAGGATGTAGAGCATTAAGAAAATCACGAGCAAGATTCCTATAATAGTCGAAAAATAAAAAAAAAATAATATTTTCCCTTAAAAAATGCTGAAATGTATCAGCGAGAACTGAGGTGAATTGAAGCGATTCTAAGCAATAAAAGAAAATGAAATAAAAAAGTAATGATTTTGTAGCTTAAAAGGAAAGAATGGGAATTCGAAAATGGGAAAAAAATTATTAAATTTTGAGAGAAGAAAATTTATGGATTTGAACATTGTATCTTGGATTAACATGGCTTTCACAAGCTGGTTGTGCTTCCAGAGCGACCTCGAAGAACAAATTTCGTTCAGCGTCCTCTGCCTTAATTGCCGTTATAATTTTTAGCATAGGATCATATAAATGACAGCTTCCCATAGGCAAAAATCAACAACTCGTCACTTTGACGAGTGACAAGTCCAGGGTCCGAAATTGAAAAGTATCACGACAAAAAGAACAGAACAAGGTACGTTCATCAAGGTTGCTCCGACAACAGGAGCAAGTTGCGAAAACGAGATGAAACCATTTTTATGCAGTGAAAAATAGCCTATAAAGTACAACCCACAGAAAAGGCTACACGAAAGTTAGAAAACGAAAGCCATTAAAGATACTTTAGTCAAAATGAATATTCTTGAAAATGACTAAATAAAGAAAGTTAATCAGAACCAAGTTTTGAATTTATTAAAGGCCATTTTATCGAAGAGTTTGAATAAGAGGTATCAATCAGATCAAAGTTCCGTACCGAAGGGTAAAAATGCTGCCTAAAAAAGAGGAAAACTCAAATTTAAGGCCTTATGAGTACAGATTGAGTATTCTAAGA